TATATATATATATATATATATATATATATATATATATATATATATACACATACACACACACACACACACACAAGTATGCGTGGGTAATTTTAGGCTTCATGGCAGTACACATGAAACGATTTTTTTGTGATTTGCAAAATAAACGAGCTGTTATTGTTTTAACACAAGTCTGATCTTAGTTCATCGTTCGCTTGGAAAAAAAATTCCGAGGTACAAGTATAGCATGGGAGAGGTACCATTAAAATGAATGCATGAATTGTTTAATATGTATAGTTAAAACAGGGATGGGATGCATCAGTCAGACAAAACAGATTGCCTCGCTTTCCAATGCGGCTGAGGGTATAACTGTTCCTGTATGTTGAGATGCCTGCTTTAGGCAGAGCAGGGTGCTGGTTTGTTTTCTCTCCAGTGAATAAAGGGAAATATGCGAGTGGCAAAGTCGCGAGCGCTCACTGACGTAATGGGCGTATTCTGAAACAAAGTAGAGGTCATTAACTTTAAAGCTTAAATACACCAACGTTCGGACTTCTCGGGGGCTCTCCGTGATGGAACGCAAAACCTGGCACACTTGCACAATAATCTGAAGCCGAGCACCATTCAAAATGAGGGCAGAGAGTCTCTGCCCTTTTCTGTTCATTCATGCGAACCACTTCCTGTACCAGCCGCCTAGCGAAGTTTCTTCTCCATCATGAAACCCTTGCAGCTCTGTAATAGCATTTTCAACTCTCCGCGTGTATTTTACACAGAATATCATAATAAGAAAAGAACAGTTTACTCAAACATGTTACTCTGACATGCATTATAATCTAAACGTCACTCAGGAGCCAAGCTCTGCCTCCGAATCAGTAACTGTTGAAGCAGCGAATACTGTTCTTCCTGTTTGAGCTGGTTAGCCTGTTAGCCGGCCGGAGACAGGCACCCGATGTGTCAGCTATACCAGACGGCGCCGCATATGCAGAAATAGGGGCGCCCGGCGTTACTTTTCCGTGCCGTAGCCACACGCTCACCTGCTGTTGGCGTGCAGAAGCTGAAAGTCGCTGGATAAGTAGTCTGCGCCTCAGTCGACGTCCGTTTCTCGGCGGAACCAAGTTTCCTGCTGCTTTGGAAAGTGCTCAAATGAAACTGACGTCTGTGAACCACCTCACTCTCGCAGGGTTTTTTTCTCTCTCTCTTTCTCTCTCTCTCTTTTCTCTTAGCTACCTCCCTGTTTTTTTTTCCCTCCCTCTTGCAGGTTTGTTAGGTTTCCTCACCCTTCGCGGAGCCGGGGCGCGGTCAGGTGGGCGGGGCCCGAAGGCACTGCCCCCGCCCACTTAACCACTCACGGTCAGGCACTGTAACTTTCTTGTCACTTTCGACCAATGGGAAAATAGGAGGGACCGCCCTTAGCGGAGCCGCTGTTTCAATAGGCAAACATGGACGCGAACTTGAAATAGTTGGAACACGGAGGAAGACCGTGATAACGTGGTGTTTAATGAAGGAGGTATGTGCATGGATGAGTTTCATGACCATATAAGTAGCAGACAGTTCAGGCCAAGTAACGTCATACAGGTCATCTGTATTTGTCACTGAAACATAACAAAGGTAGGACTTGTAGTGTTGGATTCCATATTCAAAAATAAAATATCCTTATTTCCGTAGTACATTATCCATTTTCTTCGTCACGCATTGTAAGCATTATTATTATTATTATATTCTTTTATAACAACCTTAAAAGCAATAATCTCTACATGTTAACCTACTGTAAGATCCAGAAATTATTTTCATTATAATCATAATTAAAACAAAATCACTAATGTCAATAACCCCCTTGGTGAAAATTATTAAAAGTAGCTGCAGAATCCACAGAACTCCAGTCTCATACGTTATAGGCCAGAGTGCATCTCACATTTTTCCTCAACCGAGACAGAAGAACTGTACAGGAGACCAGAAGGGCAGTAAATAAACTTTCACGTGGCAGAAGGCCGTCTGACCGAGACGTAAGGAGTAACATCAAAGGGAACAGGGTAATTACAATGAATCCTGGGATTACATTGCTTAGTCAAAGCCTTTCGGTAGTGGAAAAGGGGGAGATGGTACATAATATAGTAACAGAAAGAATGCAGTGGTAACTTAATACCTTTTGCTATCCATTCTGGGCCCTGTTCCATTCTGCCCCTGTCACCTTCCCCCAAAGGGGTGGTGCCTATACTGCTTTGTGTCCCTTCCTCCACCATTAAACACAAAACAGGTGGAGCGTAATCGACACAAACAGCCTAACATGCGCAAACACAAAGACACGCACAACGCACGCTCACACAAACTTATCTAAATGCCTGAGTGGTTTACAGTATATTTATTCAGCAATACAGCAGGTGGCTCATACTAGCTGTGTATAACTTTCTTGCGTCATTAAATGCAATTTAATAGTGAACTGTATGTAGATAAAGGTCATGTCATTTCAGATTGATTAGGCAATACCCAGCAGGCTGAAAGTCACTTTCTTCGTTGGCTATATGGAATGTAAGGAAAGGTAGATGGAAAAAAGAGCAAAACCACTAATACATTTACCTGTGTGTGTGTGTGTGTGTGTGTGTGTGTGTGTGTGTTTTAACATGAAGGATATGACTACAGGTCCAATCATTTCTGAAAGACTGCACCGGGGTTAAGACAATGGCATTACCAAAAAAGGATACTATCAAATTCTGTCTCCCTTCCTGTTAGTACGGGACCAATGTGTGTCTTACTATACTGAAGTATAAAATCATTATGTCATACATCAAAAGAATGTGAGATCACTAAAGACACATTGTTAGAGGCAATGCACGTAATGCACAATCACTCATCGCGTCTGTTAATGTGGATACAAAATGTTGTCACTAAAAAAAATACAAGAAAATACACATGTAAAACTGGCGTGGCCTTTTTGTTCCCTTGTCCATCGTTAATTTATTGCAAACAGTACTGGCATTTTACTCAATATATACAGCCAGAGAAAATGCATGTATATAGACTTAATCGATATACTACATTTGAGGACGTAGCACCGTGTCATGTCTAGCCTTCCCACCCTGTACTTTAGTAATTGGTACACAGGAAGGGGCGATAAGACGCATGTTGACTCAAAAATTTAGGAATGTTGAGATTGGGGGAGGGGAAGGATGGACGTTATTCCTTTAGAAGTAAAAATGTCTCCTTCCGTACAAATAAATCTGAGCATTTCACTTCGCCACTTCGTTCTTTTTTGTGCGTTCAGTGTCACAGGATGGAAAAAGCAGCGTTAATTCAGCATGTGTCCCGTACAAATACTCTGCTGCCATCCAGTTACGGTCCGCATCGTGGAAGTCTCGCCACGCAGCCCGGCTGCTGGATTCAGAATTGCGTGTGTACTTGGTTATTTGCCTAAGTCACTAATTGGTGGTTCGGACGCACAGTTAATGTTAAGTTTGATTCATAGGGAAAAACAGACAGACGAGCGAGGAATTCTGCAGCTCTCTCCCTCTCGCTGAAAAACCACTGGCTTCCCGTGTCTTTTTTCCCTTATATGGTAACATAGAAGCGAGAGGGAGAAGGAGAGTGGTAGAGTTCAGGGGAGGTGTGGTCTATTGTTTCAGCGGAAGAGGTGTAGGGTTACACGGCGGCAAGGTAGGGAGATAGAGGCTCTGGTGATACAGCAGAAACACCCCCGTGCACGCAAGAAAAGAGAAAAGGTGCACCGCAGTCATTCCAAATATTTCTGCTGTACACCTAAAACAATGCAGAGTTGCGATACCTCGAGCCTCGCTGCAAAAGAAGCACGTGCTAGGCGCCTAACCAATCACATTTCTGCTATCTGCACTTAAGTAATACTTTCTCTCGACTGAAAACGTAATATTTATGAGGAATGTTTTTTGATGCAGCATGTACACCAAGGAACTGCGTGTAACCGGTGTAGTGATTGCGGTTGATCAGCAGTGGAAGTGATCTAGAAGAGTTGAATGGTGAGGTAAAAAAAAAAAAAAACAGACCAGACAGGAAGAAAGACGTTTATCTAAAGCATGTTTAGGTGTGCCGCTGTCCTCCCAGACTTCTGCACTGATAAGGCGACAGGTCATATGAATAATACCTGGACTTTGTGTGCGAGTTTAGCGGGAAAATAAAGGTGGAGGAGTGTTAGAGCCTGCTGAGTTATCAGCGGAGTTCTTGTGGAACAAGGATGCGTGGACAGGAAGTTGCCGGGGTTTTCAGAATGCCACCTCAGCAGGCCATTTTTAAAAGGCACCCAACAGCGTGGAGGGGAGCTAAAGAATATGGCCAAAAGTATAAGGACACCCCTATTAATTAGAGTAATTGGGTAATTAAGACACACCCATTGCTGACACAGGTCTAATGAAGCACACGGTCATGCAGTTCCTAGCAGGACACATTAGCAGCAGAAGCGCCAGCTGTACAGAAGAGGTCAGTGACCTTCCACTTGGCACCATCTTATGACGTCACAATTTCCCACAAATCAATTCACCACATTTCTGCCCCGTTAGTTCTGCTCCGGTCAACCGCAAGTGACATGACCGGAGGTCAAAACGTCTGGGAGCGAGTTCAGTCGCAAAGTGGTCAACCACACCTCACAGAAAGGGATCTGATCAGCCGACATCTAGACCCAACCTAAAGGGCAGCAAATCCCACCAGCGATGTTTCGGTATCTAACGGAAAGCCTTCCTAGCGGAACAGAGCTTATTATAGCACCAACGCACTGACCAGCTTCATATTAATACCCGTGGTTTCGAAATATCGGACAAGCTGGTGTCCACATGCTTTTTGGCCATATAGTGGAAATTAACGAGCGGATCCAGTTAAATGCCTTTGAACAGAACAGGGCCACAAGTCAGCCTGCAGCTTCCCTCAAAAGTTGCTGTAGGTCACGCCTGTTGTTTTTTACGCACACAAGGAAGGTGACTCCCTTCATTCCTAGCTAGTATCTCCCTGAACTTTGACCTTGTCACTGTGGCGTCTCCGTTCTTCGCCAGATGGTTCATTATCCTCTCCACCCCAGATACCTTTGGCCTGCTACTTAATTTTATTGAAGGGTTTTTTCGCTGTTCATAGGATTGTATGTACTCCTGTTTATAACACGATGAGGGGCAAAAATCTGATTGTTGGATCAAAATGAACCACGGACACGACTGATCAGCAGGTGCTTGAATTTCTTATTAAAAACAGCTGACCACTAAAAAAAATGAACCACGGAAGTAGTTGTTGGTGAAACAATGAAACACTCCTTTCTATTTATTTGGTTTTAGATTCTAAGCCATTCCGAAACTTCATTAAAATTCATTCTTCGCTGAATAATTCATTATAATACAACATAATACAAAGTCCAGACCCGAACAAGAGACAATGACATGAGATAGAAAAACCCTGAACGTCACGTGCAAAACTCACATTATCGGGCAGAGTATTAATCAGCTGGGGCTGCCACCCTGTGGTCAAAATAAGTAACTGCAAATCATAGTTAAGCAGGGTCATCGCCTTCGCGTCATATTACCTCCAGATTGCTAGTACAGCACTGACACCAGCTCAAGTTCTTGCATCATTCACAGAAGAGTTTTAAGAGTTTAAAGTTTCACAGAACAAAATAATTTTTTCCCTAAACGCTCCAGTCTACAAGGATGCAACTGAACTCCATGCCCTTTCAGCTAAGGAGTTGTTTAGTTGTGGCATGTATGTTATCATGTTCGTGTTAGTATTTCAGCACGTGAATGTCATCTCTGTACATACTGAAGATTCAGTTTCAGAGTGGTGACAGGGGGAACAGCAGCAGCATGGAAAGTGACCCGCTCACAGTCCAACGAGCTTGCCAACGAATGAGTCCAGCTGGTCTTCGTCCTTGATCCCCACAAACTGGTCAAGGACCTTTCCGGCCCGCATGGCGATCACAGTAGGAACTGCTGACACCTAGAGGGGGAGGAGACTGAGCGTCAGAATGGAAACTGGGGCTTCTTCCCCATATGCCCACTTAAGTACCAGCTCCATACACACTTTGTTGACATAAGATGCAAAGTCCGCAAGTGTATGTAAAGATCTCAAGTGTCTGGACGTTCCTTGAAAACAATGGGACACATTTGATATTTGGAGAGGTGAACAAGAATCATTCTACAACCATGTTATCATTTGTGTTAGTTGCATTTGGGGTTGTCCTTCGCTGTATAACATTCGTTATACAACTTTGTGCACTTAAATTTAAACTTCAGGAGGCATTTTGTGCTCTGATACACCGGCTTCCTTGTGTTTGACGTAAACATTAGTCATCACTGATGCAGTGCACTGTGGTCTATATATTTATAAAGGCCACTTCCATACATTATCTGCCAAAGTGTGGATAAAGTGCACTTTAAGGGTGCTGCACTTGGCTTATTTGAGGGTTGGGACACACTTGGATACTTGCACTAAGCTGTGTGTTAGGGTTTAAGTGTGTACTTGGTGGGGCAAATGGGACAAAGCCTGGATCTCCCACATCGTCGTACCAAATCATAACATGGCACCAGCTATTTGCCCCGCCCACCCTCACCCCATATTCGATGGCCAGGTCTGTGTGCTCGTCTATGTCAACCTTCGCCATGACAACACGTCCCTGCTGCTTGGCAACTGCTTTCTCCAGCCGGGGACCAAGGATTTTACAGGGACCACACCACCTGTTAAAAGACGCAAGAATGAAATGTATGGAGGTGAAAACGGGAGTGATAAGGGATGGAGGGGGGGATTAAGAGATGACTTTACTATTGTGTCTTTAATGTGTCTGTCTAAAATGAAATACAGTTTTTGTCTTGCAGCAAGGAAAGTATATTGTGAAAAAAAGAACATATCCATCCATCATTATCTGCCGCTTATCTGGGGTCGGGTCGGGTCGAGGGGGCAGCCATCTAAGCAGGGATGCCCAGATCTCACCAGCCACCACCTCCAGCACCTCTGGGGGAATCCCAGGCCAGCTGACCTCCTCAGGGAGCCGTCCAAGAGGCATCCTAGATAGATGCCGAACCACCTCAACTGGCTCCTTTCAATGCGGAGGAGCAGCGGCTCTACTTTGAGCCCCTCCTGAATGTCCGAGCTCCTCACCCCATCTCTAAGGCTGAGCCCAGCCACCCTGAGGAGGAAACTCATCTCTGCTACTTCTATACGCGATTCTTTCAGTCCCTACCCAGAGTTCATGACCATAGTCAAGGGTACAAACATCAACTGATAGGTAAATCAATGCTGTACCGATTCACCTGCCGATCTCCTGCTCCCTTCTTCCCTCACTCTGAGACACTTAAACTCCCCCATTTGAGGCAGTAACTCATTCCTCATCAGGAGAGGGCAATCCACCCTTTTCTCTCAGGGGTGCTGACTGTCATCTCTGTCACCTCACACTCAGCTGCAAACTGCTCCAGTGCATGTTGCAGGCCACATCCCGATGACGCAAGAAACAATTTTATTTAAAATATGTACTCAGGATCTAGTGATACGCTTTTGTATTTTATACCACAATGTGTTTTTTCTAATATTGACAGAAAATTTAAAATGTCGCGAGCGCAGACTGCGATGCCAGATACCTACTGAGCATGGAAGTCAACTAGTACAGGCACATCGCTGTTGATGACCCTCTCTGTGAAGTCCTCGCCGTCCTGCACGTTGAATGACACCCTACGACAGGGTGCGAGGGGCAGCGGCCGGGACAGCACGCGGGAGGGCGACAAGAACCGCGACGCGGCCTCGGGGCGGTGGGCGACGGCTGATGCACGGCGAGCAGCCGAGATGGGGAAGCTGCTAAGTCTCGACAAGCGGGAGCAAAATCCGCCGGCGACCCGTCTGCAGGCCATCTAGGAAAAGACAATGCAGGACCGAAAAGATTAACGATGCAACGCGTTACACTTCACTTCAAAGCCACAATTATGCGCCAGGGCACAATGGACAATGGCAGCACTATAAAATGTCGGCAAATTCACCGGGAGTAATGACAATCGCTATTTGATAAACACAACTGTAAAAGAAAGTGCAAGATGTGCTACAACTTTTAATTCAGGAAACATGGAGGATTATAAATATGTACGCAAGCTGTCCGTCAAATACACTGGCAGCCTTCGTCACGTGGTCTGACGTGCCTAGTTATCATACTTTATATTTTCACATTAATATAATCCTATTCTTCAACTAGTTTCTCGTGAATCTCTGATTCATATATGTGTTAGAAACCTGTGATGGTCGATTTCTAAATGTATTTCTATTCAGATTTTTTTCTCGATAACACTGATCTTTCTCATTAGTATTTTCTGATCTGAAACTCGACACAGCTCTTTTTGCCGGAACCCATTCGCCTCCCGTTCATTCTTCCTTAGAAAATAACTAGGTGATATTAAAACAGCGCGATACCTACCATGCTTACCCACGTCGCTCGCGCGCAGGTCGCCTTGATGTACTTCCGCTCACAATGTGCAAATCACAGGCACATGTTATAGCGGCCCCTTCAGGGCAACTTCAGAATTGCAGGGAAAGCGTTTCTCGGTTTCCTAACCGCATATTAAATATATATTATATTTCAATCACGATTTGTTTACACATAAAACAACCTACATCAGTACCTGTAGTACAGTACGATGAATATCCGAAGTACGACGCTGATAGCGTCTTGCACTTTCATTTACGGTTTGTCGTAATGTCGAAGCTGTTATACTCTACTTGTTGAATTACATGTAGGTTCTAGGCAAACAATAAAAATGAAGACAAGCCAGTATATTGTTTTTATGTGTAGAAAAGCTCTTTCCAATAACAACGGTGATAATGATGATGGTGATGATCTTTCCGGTGACTGTAAAGATGATGATGATGATGACCCTAGTAGAACATGGACTCTTTCAACCCATCTGTCCATCTACAGGTATTTATTATTGATGGTGGGATGGAAATAGAAAAGCTGGTAGAGGGACCGAACATCTTTTATGTCAGAGAGGAGGATGGGATGAAAGAGAGAGGGATGAAGGCAAGCAAAGGGGTGCGGCGACAGATGGAGGCCGCAGACTGAAAGGGGCGGATGACGGAGCGCACAGGCGACGAAGAGGAAGACAAACAAACACGGGAGCTCACCTTGCCTTCTCCACACGCTCACCAGGGTGAAGGTAAATGAACATAAGCTTCCCCTCTGCTGTTTTATTAATAGAATCTCCAGCAATTTTATGCCAGCAACAGCCAGTAACTCAGCTCAGCAAATATATTTATCTGATATGTTTCTGTTTTGATTTTGATTTGATAGATATTTTATTTTTGTGTTCATGCAGGCTGGGCTGCTGACCAAACTGATTATCAGTATATAAGTATTAATATAATGAATTAAAAAATAATAATTGTACTAATATCTTTTACTGCATGTATCTCAGTGGCTGAGAAAGAGTGCATTAATATTAATTCCTAGTCAGAGGCTCCCTTATATATATTTTTTCATGAGAAAACATAAAAAACTGAATATTGAGCAGAGGTGAGTAATTCAGTTCCACAGACCAAGATTTTGTTTCAACCAACTAGTAGAATAATCTGTGACTGTGACTCTTTATACTCAGCTGGTTGGTTGGAACAAAATCTTGGTCTGGATTTTTACTCTCTAGACCTGAACTACCCACCTCTGATTTTTAATGCTGCTTTGGATACAGACTAAGCTGTGGAGACCACCAGCAGTAAGAGGACGTTCACTCTCCTGTCCCTCTGCCTGACCAGCCAAAGTGATGCAGGAGCAGAGCACAGAGTGGGGCACTGGGCTCGGGGGGAGGACAGGAGGCTGTTGGGTTGATGCCCAAGGCTGTGAGGCTGGAGATAATGATGTATCAGGCATGAAGAGGCTCAGCCAAGGCCTTTGTCCCCCACCTGTCTTCCGGAGCATCAGGGGTCTTACGGGAACCTCCACCGGCCTGCCCCCTCATCAGCGCCTGAGGTCCATATTCCGCCGCTCCAGAGCTGTTCTGCCCGCAGATGCCAACACAGAGACCCAAAGGTGTGGGTTCCCTCACCTGGACGTGCTAAGAGCAGGGCCGCTAATGCAGGCAGGCATCCCCAGGACAGACAGCCAGCCAGCACACAACAGCCCCGCTGCTCAGTCAACCACCTTCCAGCTCACCCCTCCCTCTATGCTCCACTGGGAGGGGAAGGGCAGGCGGAGCGGGGTGATCTCCCCCCTCGGGCAACCCGCAGAGTCTGGGTGGAGGAAAAGAAGAAGGACAAGGAGGGCAGAAGCGACTGGAAGACGGCCCGACACGTCGGACCAACCAGGCAGCCTGGTGCTGCCCTCTGAAGGGCCAAAGGAAGCGGAACTGTGTCTGTGGCTCCAGGATCTGGAGATTACAGACCGTGCCAGGGAGAGGCCTTCTGTGACCAGTGACAGCCAGCGGGGCTGGACCCGTCTGGGTCCCCTGCTGGGCAGGAGAGAGGTGGGCCAAGGGGCAGGCCTTGGGACAGGCCTAGGAGCAGGTCTGGGGGCAGGCCTAGGGACAGGCCTAGGAGCAGGTCTGGGGGCAGGCCTAGGGACAGGCCTAGGAGCAGGTCTGGGGGTAGGCCTAGGGACAGGCCTAGGGGCAGGCCTTGGGACAGGCCTAGGAACAGGCCAAGGGGTGACTCAGAGGCCAGACAGGCGCCCTCACTTCCTGCCTCCCATTACTCAGTCTGGCTCACTCCTGGAGGTGCCCCTGTTTCTCCCCGAAAACTCTCCCCCACCCTCTCCATGTGTGCCCCCCAGTGACCCATTCTCCCCATTACCAGTGCCACAGCCCTGTCTGGTAGCCTGGAAGAGAAGAGCCAAATGGCAATAGCTCCTTTCAAACCTCCACCAGTAGGTGGCACCCTTGCTGCAGCCAGTCAGCGAACGTGTCGCAAACTGTGAGCCCAAGTCAGCACCAGCTTGGTGATATATCTACCAACTAGTGTGCAAGTTTATGTTTCATGACGTCTTATAAGCAGTCATAAATTCACTGGGGCCTCCGTAACCCATGGAAAACTAAGAAAACAAAACAGAACCAAGTCCCGGCAAAGCGTTTGCTGAGATGCAGTGGATGTCTGGGGTGGATTCATGCAAAGGAGCATTCAGACAGCCCAGAAACACTCCTTTGTACTGCACTTTAAACTGTTGTTGAATGTCTAGGGCAGAATTCCAGATTCCAGTCCTGGAGAGTAAGTCTGTAACACATTTTGCAGATTTCCCTGTTTAAACACACCTTATTCAGCTCATCATCTAATTGCCAGGTTTGCAAGGTGTGTTTCAGCAGGGAAATCTGCAAACTGTGTAACAGACTGGCCCTCCAGGATCAGAATAGGGGAACCGTGCTCTAGGGATTGTTACATTCTGATGCAGCTTTTCAGACTGCAATGTTCCACGGTACAGAAGTAGGGACTCTACTTACAATCATATGACACAAGATTATGATGTTAAATAGCAACTTAATATGGGGCAAAGTACAGGAGCTGACTGATTACTATAAAAGAGAATGCTTTGGTGAGGAAGTCACATCTAGTGAAGGTGATAAGGTAAAATAAAGATATTAGCATTTAATTGTGGTGCACACACTCTCTTCTGGTCAGATTCTGTTTGTGTCTGTGAATGTCTGCATTGTGGGTGTGCATGTGTTTGAGATGACCTGCCCTCATTGGCCAGTGGTGAGCTTATTCCTTGCAAATTTCACAGGTAAATTTTGGAAGTAAATTATAGAATTGCCAGCGCAGGATCTCCCACGTGTGTAGTCTGTGTCTGTGTGTGACTGTGTTACAATGTACTGCCAGGTGTAGACAGTTAACACCATAAAATAGTGTTTCCCAATCTAGTCCTTGGGGACCCTCAGACAGTCCATGTTTTTGCTCCCTCTTACCAGGAGCTGGGAGGGAGCAAAAATGTGGGCCATCTGTGGGTCCCCAAAGACTGGATTGGGAAAACAGTGTTAAGGGGCGTGGCAAATTATCCCCTTGAACAAACAACATGTAGCACCTGTTCTGCTCTCTCTCTCTCTCTCTCTCTCTCTATCTATCTATCTATCTCTCTCTCACACTCATACATGCAAATACATGCTCTCATGCCCACAATCCAAAGGTCTCCCTCCAACAAACCTAGTTGTTTATTTCCCTTTGCAGAATCGGTCTGTTTTTTCTCTTCCATCTCGCTATGCTATCGAGACTGAGTTGCCAGTGATTTAATGCCAGGTTCTTCGGCAAACACGGAGCTGATTTTCTCTTCATCTCTCTCTCTCTGCATATTTTCCTTTTGCATTCTCAAACAAGAAAGCTTTCCCTGTCCACCGCTTACTCTTCCTGTCATGAGCTTGTTTTTGGGAACATAGTCTTTTGATCTCCAATCCTAAGTCACACTCTCCATCTTCTAAAGATCTTCAGAGTTGGAGCCAGAACTCTTACTGATCTCCAGGAAATTGACTTTATTCCAAAAATAACCCTTAGGGACACTCATTGGATTAATGTCTCAGCATAGAACACTTTCCATTGCCTGTGAACCACCCTTAGAATGATGGTGTGACCTCATCTGTCCTTAACAGGTGAATGTGTGTATGACTACTGAGTGTATCAGTTTGAGCTAAGGCCAGACAGGCTGGTTGTGTTTGATGAACCCAGAGCCAATGAGGCAGAAGAATAAATGCAGCATTGCCAAGGACACGTCCGCGCACACATAGGCCTACATGTGTGAATGTGTGTGTGTAAATTTGAAATATGTATATTACTCTAAGTATGTTCAGGGTCAAGTTCAGCTAAACAATAGCAGTGTGTTTAATGTCGTTCTTGTGTCACTGTGCGTTTAATTAGTGCCACTGTGTTATTCGCAGTGCATTTAGACATTGTCACTAGTTACTGTATCAGCGTGATTACAGCTGCGCCGTTTCAGACGGTATCAGCGTACCGTGTGTCAAGGCGGGCGGTGTGCGGACACAATGCTGAGAATGTCTCTCCCCTTGTTCTCACCTCTTGCATTCCCGACATTCTCACATCAATAGGGGCCAGTCTGAGAAAAAGTGAAGAATGGGGTGCGCCTAGCGCGTGGAGATCGGGTGAAAGAAAGTGCGACTTGGAAGGCAGTCAGCAATGATCGAGTAATTAACAGGAGGAGTTCAAAGAACTGACAGGCCGAAAGGGAAGAAGAGGTAGATGCCGACAGACGAATTCATAAAGGAAGACATAGAACAAGTCGAAAATGAGGCGACGCTAACAATTACTAAGTATGGGAACCCACACGAGAAGAGGCAGTATGATAATCTGTCACTATTTAAAGCAGAAAATTAATCTTTCTCGTGCCTATGCATTATGTAATAATCAGTGCTTGAAGTGGGGCGGAACGCAGTTCCGGAACTTCTGTATTTTCGTCTTTTGGGTTCCGCCACTTTTTTCTGCGTTCCGGTACTTACTGAAACTGATCCGACGCAGCGACAGTGGCCCGAGAAAATTAGAGTTCCTGCACTTATTTTTTCCCACTTCAAGCACTGGTAATAATAATCATTATCGTCCTCAACATCAATAAATATTTGCGTTGATATATATTGTAATAATCGCAAACATTTTTAACTGAATGTGTGCAATAATCCATTTCCTTTGGCGACATTTCTAAGCTGTATAACCACGTAGTAATTACAATATAAATCAGAATTCTATTTTTTCTTGCTGTGCAGTAGGCGAAACTAGGAATATTGTGTGAAATGTACATCAATAATGTTTTAGTAAATTATTGGTAAATAAACTGACACTGAGTATGGACCTGTTTGGAATGTAGTAATGATCTTTTTTATGAATGACTGCATTCATGCAGAAACCCAGCTTTATCCATCCGTGAGACTCCGCCCCCGACCAGCGCGCTCGGAGGTGGAGCCGCAATATCACTGGGCTGCTATAAAAATCACTTGCTAATTATTTGAATTATATAACTGCTTGGGGTGACCAACCAGAGCGACGTTACAAAGACCCGAGTACAAAATTACGCGGAAAAAAAATTGCTTCAGTTCTGGTTGACTTTAGATATACCACAACTATACCTGACTGGCACGTCTCCGTTTTATCGTTTAAAACAAACGTCATTGTATTTCAGAATTTCTAATAACGTGCCAAAACAAACAGTACGCGTGACTGATATTTCAAACTCCAGCAATCAATATGGAGAAAATCTTCTACGTGTCTATTTTTACACTGGGAACTTTCAGCTTGGTAAGTGCACTTTTTGTTTGTTTCTCGTGACAAAGGGGCTCAATGTAAACATTCACCACGTGAGCTCATGTGCGCATTTACCGATTATGTCCTGGCATTGCGATCGTACTCACGCAAACTACTCTAAACTCTTAAAATATCTGCGCATAAGCATATTTAAACAGACAGGTCTTTCAATTACGCGTCCATTTGCGCTATGTAGGCTATGGATCAAATTCGATCCTTGCGAAATACGTGCAGTTTGATTTAAGGTACCCATGCATCAGCAACAGTGGTTCTCAAAATGCGTAACAGAAACGTTTAGTAATGTAATGATACACTCTCGGGTGTCATTAATTATCATAAATCTGGTATTAAAATAGTCTCTCTTTATTTTTTTACAATCTCTAAATAACACAACAGAGAGACAGCAAGCGCGTGCGTTCTAATTAGTTCTGTGGCATACAAGCCTAAATAAGAATTGTACCTGGGTCTAAATGAGCAGAAATGGAAAGGAAAGTTCTATAGGCTACATATCGCTCTTAAAATAGGTTTAGTCCAGCACTGGAAACAATTTTCTTCTGGCTGCTGATGTCACTTAAGCAGAATCCCTTGGATGAGCCGTGTGTAAAAGAGCGAAATTCTCTCATGTACGTCTTTTCGGGCCAAGCGGTTGAACTGATTAATAACGACTTTGCCGTGACGGTCGGAGTCAGGTTCGATTCCAAAGCCCGATGCACGTGTGATATTCCACTTTTGCGCACCATTTGCACCGCTCAGAATATTCCTGGACGCGGTAAAAGGCGCGAAAGGGGTTTTCACCTGAGGCGCTCTGCGGAATCGGGTTTCGGCTGTGAGATAATATGTCTGGCAGGTCTGCTCAGTCCCTTCCTGAGCAGAACGTGTCCACGGATGCCAAGTGAAATGTGATGTTCTCCGGGGTGGTTTTAAATAACCTGTTGTGTGCTGAGAGCTGCCTCTCAGAGCACAACATATGAAACCAGATCAAACGCATCTGTTTTTAGGCAGAATTTCAAGATGGGATTCAATTCCCCCCTGAGCATCCCTCGTATTTCCCTGAACATTCTCCCGCTTCCTGAACACAGTTGCCTCCTCAGTTACCTCATAACCTTTGTGACTCGTCCCCCTCGCTTTTCTAGGTGGGGGCAGGCTGCCCCACTGTATGTAAGTGCCCAGCATTGGCTGCCATCTGCCCCCCGGGGGTGAGCTTGGTGCTGGACAAGTGCAGCTGTTGCAAGGTATGCGCAGCACAGCTGAATCAGGACTGCGGAGCATCGCGGCCCTGCGATCACCACAAGGGACTGGAGTGTAACAATGGGAACGGCGCCACACACGAAAGCGGCATCTGCAGGGGTGAGAGAGGTCAAGTTGGCCGGGTTTGATTGGGCAGAGGGATTGAGTGGCAGGTATATCTGGGAAATATTTATATTACATTTACTTATTTAGACACTTTTATCTAAAATGAGATACGTTCGCGTTGGCAGGGTGAGCCAGTGCCTGGAGCAATTGGGAGTTAAGGGACTTGGGATCTGAACCCACAACCTCATGGACACAATTGTAATCCGCAGAGCCGCAGCCCCCCATTATATTTGTGTGCAAATATTTTAAAAGCCCAGGTTGCAGGTTTATGGATGTTTACAGTACTGGTGTTCATGTTGCCTCTTACAGCTGCAACCTGACTGATCGTTAAACCATTTCCTTAATTGCCGGCGGGGGCCCAGTCGTCTTTGCTGGGGAGTGATCAAGCAGAGGGTATTTTTGTCATTTGGGAGGTGTCCCTAAATAAAGTGAGACGTTAGCGTGGGGCACGGTTCTTTTTTGGGGGCGGGGGCATGCGAGTTGTGCAGCATCGCCAGGATTCTCCTGGGGGCTAAGAATAGGGTCGCCTTCAGAGAACGTGTGTGTGTGTGTGGGGGGGGGGGGGTCTTGTCTCTATGGCCCCACTGGATTCTCTATGTTTTTGTCAGTAAGCTGTGGTTTTCTGCAGCTTTCAGAATAGCTTTCGCTAAAGTGCTAACCTTTAATGGAGTGCAGGCTGGGCGTATGTACATATGTATACACACTGTGTGTGTACAGTATGTGCTTCTTTCTGATTGGCTGCAGCGAGGCAGGAGGGCCGGACCTGTGAATTCAGAGGCAGCATTTACCAGCATGGTGAGAGCTTCCAGTCGGGCTGCAAGCACCACTGCACCTGTGTGGATGGGGGGATCGGATGCATGTCCCTCTGCCCAACCCTCAAGCCCCGTGCCACGCCCTCCTGTCCCTTCCCCCGCCTGGTGAAGGTGCCAGGGCAATGCTGTCCTTCACTTAAGTGCCACAAGGGGGTGCTGTCTCTGCCTGCAGCTGGTCAGCCGCCGTCTTCATACCCGTACAAAAAGGACAAAGCGCTTGACAATGAGATTTTGGATCCTGGGAAAGACTGGGAGAAAAAGCGGATCTACAAACACCTGGGAGGTAAAGCAGGGACCCTCTCTAACAGCAGAGGTGGACATTTCAGGTCAAGAAAGTAAAAATCCAGACCAAGATTTCGTTTCAACCAATAAGTTTAGTATAAAAAAAGTCACTTTCACAGAGTACTCAACTGGTTGATGTAGAGTGATATGATAACATGGTGTATTTATTGTTATTAAAAATGCATTTATATGTAGTAATGCAGATTATTTCCCGGAATGGTTCCCAGTTCACGGCTGCTTTCACCTTCCCCCGCAGAATGGAAGCACTCTGCCAGTCATTGTGTTGTCCAGGTAACAGACTGGTCCCAGTGCTCGCGAAGCTGTGGGCTGGGTGTGTCCTCCCGCGTCACCAATGACAACACGCGGTGCAAGCCGGTGAAAGAGACACGACTGTGCATCCTGCGGCCTTGTGGGACACGCCCCCCCCCGACCAAGGTGCGTCCCGCACAAACGTCGGCATTCTGCACTTATAGAACCGTCAGCGCGTTCCCCGGGACGTGTGCGGTTCGGCCGGTCAGCGCGTTCCCCGGGACGTGTGCGGTTCGGCCGGTCAGCGCGTTCCCCGGGACGTGTGCGGTTCGGCCGGTCAGCGCGTTTTGTTTCAACCAATCAGTTGAGTACTTTGTGACATTACAGTGAATTACTGGTACTTGCAAGGTTTTTTTTTTTTTTTAACAAACATGCCTTATTGCTCTGGCTTCCACAGATGGTGAAGAAATGCTCACGCACCCACCAACCAGCACAGCCCGTTCATCTATCTTACGGCGGCTGCCGCAGCGTGCAGCCATACCTGCCCGGATACTGCGGCGACTGCGCAGACGGCCGCTGCTGCTCCCCCCACCACACACTCACCCAGCCCGTGCTCTTCGCCTGCGCAGATGGCAAGCGGCTGGAGTATGACGTCACTTTCGTGCGCTCCTGCAAGTGCTCAGAGTCATGTGACCACCCAAACAGGGCTGGTCCCGTGTCCCGGCGCCGGGTTCACGGAGACACCAAAAGGTTCACCAACTAGGTCCTCCCTACCGGGCTCAAGAAGAACACATCTCAGTCCCAATATCTGTGAAGAGAAACTATTGTGTGATTTCCCTGTGATACAGAGAAGTTTGGTCTGGTTCACTGTCATTTGTCACACCGTGGATTGAAATTTCAGGATCTGCAGGACACCGTTAGACACGAGTTAGTTTTCCTGTTAGGCCTCCCGCTCATTCGGGATTCTCGGCATGGGCTGGTCCACGCTGCGGGTGATCAGATGGAAAATTGAGTAGCTATGGACTGTCTATGAAAGCAGGCCTGATCCACAGAGACCCAGAATCATCGGGACACTGTCCGGCTGTTCTCACATTTCCGTGGCCTTGACAGAAGTTAGAAAAGCCCACATGGCTTATGTCTGGACTTAGTTGCATGTTTGTCATTTAAGAGAAATGTTGGCAGCACAGATTAAATCCCCCAGCATCTCAGTAAACTAACAGGCGTAAACCGAGAGACGGAGCAGTGCATGTGCAGCCGATTGCGCTCCCCCTTGTGAATGCGAGTGTGGTCCGATTACCCTCGGATTAAGCGGCCCTTCGGTCGGAGAGGAAGGCACGTTGTTGACGAGGCTCCCCATCCGCCAGGCCAGGAACCGGGACTGTTTGCACAGCCGGGCTTCATTCCTGGCGCAAGCAGTGTGAAATTTGCCAAGTGTGGCACGGCTTCCTGTGGGCTTCCTGTGTCCAAGCGTCCGGTGGCCGGGTGGGTCAGGAGGGCCGTGCGTGACCCAAAGAACGCCCAGGGTTGTTATGAAAGCAGATCTGAAGAGCCAGCCTCCAGCCCACCCAGCCCACTCGCCTGCCCAGGCCGAGCCTTTCAGTGTTCAACTCAAAATACAAGGCAGCAAAGCACTGCATTTCAGTATGTTTTTCCTTTGAGAAACCCATCGTCTAACGGTATAATTTTACTATTTCTCATTAATTTTGTTATAAAAGGATCTGGGATTTTCTTTTCTTTGTTTTTTTAGATGCGAGTACTTTTACGGCAGCATACAGAATAAGCTTTCAAAAAGATATCCAAGTTGTTCATATATTTGTCCAGTCAGTATATTACTGTCAACTCTTTCAATTTTTATTCTTTTTGTTAGGTTTCAAAATTTAAGGAATTTGGAGGTTAATGTCTTATGTTTTGCATACTACTGTTGTATCTGTCAGCATCTTCAAACTACAGTACTTGCATTTGCACCAACAATAATCACGTGTCTGTCGTCTATGCCTCCACACCTCAAACACTCACTGCCTGCCAGTCAGCGCTGGGGAAATTACAAAAGTAATCAATTAGACAGAGGTGCAAAGTTCTGGTCCAGAAAGTACAAATCCATGCCTAGGTTTTGTTTCAGGTTCTTTGACACTATTCTCAACTGCTTGGTTAAAACAAAATCTTGGCATGGATTTGTACTTCCTGGACCTGAACTTTCCAGCGCTGTCTGTAACGGATCGTGAACAACGTCCCCAGCCCGGCTGCCAGTTCAGCAGTCTCTGCTGACCGCTACTGTACACGCGAAAGCATGTGTGCTTATTTCGGGACCCCGTCAGAACATACGTGACCAAGCTGTCCAGCCCAAACTCACAGCCGCCGGGACCCTATCCCAGACGGCTTTGGGCACAGCTTGGGGAGGACGCCAGTCCATCATACGACACAAAAAGAGCAGTTTAGAGATACAGTCCTGCACAGCTTGGGGGGGGAATTGACCACACACAGAACAGGCGCAAGGTTGAAACCTGTCACTACAGCGGTTCAGATTAGTTTTAGAACATGGTTTTCCTCCACCCCTTATAAAAACCAGAATGCATGTTTATACAGCTTAAATCCCCGTCTAAATTTTACAAAGCCAGCCATCGCTCGATTCCGTCGGATGGGATTTGCGTTCATGCGAAGTTTAGACAAATGGCTCATTATTAAAACGTCACCTTCTTTAGGCCTGTGTAACTGTCCCCTCTTTGGCAGTTACGAGAGACTACAAGCGATCCAGAAAGAGGCTTTACAGCCATAAATAGTCCCTCCGACAGTCACCGTCTGAATCTAAGCCAATAAACAGCTGTGGTATTAAACCCAAAGACACGGCGTGACCCCTAAGCAGCACCGGGCTGCAACATAAATCAACCACGACACTGACATGATTCTCAGAACTAAAAACCCTTTAAACCTAAATTTGCCTAAATGCTTTGAAAGCTGCAGACACGCCAAAGAGACTTACAGCCAACCAATGAACATTGTATAAAATGTTTTAATTCCTTTAACCAAAAACTACAACCGACAAAAAATTTAAAAACAAAAAATTAAAACCAGGACACTCCCCAGAAAAATAAAATAAGCCTTGCACCTATGAACCGAGGGGAGGGAAGCTTTTAAAATGGCGTCGTCTTCAAAAATACATTTGGGATTAGGGTCTTCATTGGACTGGAACGCTCATCTGGACTGTTCAACTGCAACGACACATGGCCAGTTAGTCTCCGCTCTCACTGGGGACGTGCAAACAACACCAGCGTTTCTCCCCCCCCCAGACTGTCCAGAAGCACATGGACTGTCTGGGGGTCCCAGAACCAAGTTGGGAGGTGTTACGCCAAACCACTAGTCAAAAACTCACTGTAAGTGGAGATGTCAATCTCCTCCGGCAGCTCGGCCACGTTGACCTCGAAACGGTCCTGCACATCATTCAGGGTCTTTGCGTCCGTCTCGTCCGACACAAACGTCACAGCCAGACCCTTCGTCCCAAACCTTCCTGCACGGGCGACCTGGAAAGGATTGGAAGGTGCCATCGTTTGAACCCCTTCAGTGGACATTTCATTACAGGTTCTACGTCCAGGACCGTGGTCCACAGCCACAACGTCCCCCGAAAGTCAGCACCCACCCTGTGGAGGTAGGTGTCAGAGTCCTCAGGCATGTCATAGTTAAAGACGATGTTGACCCGTTCGATGTCCATCCCTCGGCCAAAGAGGTTGGTGGCCACCAGGATGCGACGCTGAAAGTCCTTGAACTGCTGGTATCGCGAGAGCCTGTAGGGGTCGGCGTGTTAGAACGTTTTGTTAGAACACAATTTCTCATTTAAAACTCCAGCGCCAGGACAGTATGGCACAGAACGGCATCTCGAAATAAAGCCAACTCTAAGACTGCGTTCTCCAGCTCCGGTTCTGCAGAGCCAGTCTTTTTCCAGCTCAAACACACCTACTAACCTGGTAACCTGTGCATGAGTAGGAAAATCTACTAACTGTATTGCAGACTGGCCCTCCAGGACCAGAACCGGGGGACCGTGCTCTAGGAGATCAAAACACGGAGCCTCACCTCTCCTCCTGCGCCATACCCCGGTGAATGGCGATGGCAGGAAAGTTCTGCTCCACAAGCAGCTGGGACAGAGCCACACACCGCTGCACGGACTTGACGAAGATCACCACCTGGGTGCAAGTGGAAGATGAAGATAAACAGGATCCGTTTCTCCCCACTGAGCAGCCATCGTCAAAAACTTCCGGAAAGTTCCTCCGAAACGCCGAATGACGCCGAACCAAAAATGAAGGCTACCTGATTGAACTCCAGCACATCCAACAAGTCAAAGAGCTTGCGGTTCTTCTCGCTGTCCTTCAGCTTACAGTAGTACTGCTGCAGGCCATGAAGGGTCAGCTTGGTCTCATCATCCACGAACACCTCCATGGGCTGGGGGGGGGGGGCGACATGAGACAAGGTCACACCCCTTCTGAAGCGTGACCAAGCTTCCTGAGGAGGACACACCCAGAAGCTGCCCTCATACTCACGTCCTGCATGAATTTGCGACACACGGGCCGGATCTCCTTGCTCAGGGTGGCGCTGAACATCATGCACTGCTTCTCGTGCGGCGTCAGTCTGAAGATGTCCTGCACGTCACGCCTCATATCTGAAGTAAAAAAAAAAAAACAGTACAGTGCAACAGTAATCACACAGAATTTCAGATTGAAATGCACTGGATTCATGACCCTTGAAGTCAACCTCATTTCCCCAAGTGCCACCCTTCTGATGAGGCGTAAGAATCGAGGTCCTGACTCTCTGAGGTCATAAAGGATCCCTGGGCATCTTTCGAAAGAGTACAGGGGGTAACCCCATGTCCCAGCCAAAATTACCCCTGTCGGATCTGACCTCCTAATCATCCCCTGAATCTAACTGGTGAATTCTCTCCAGCCCCCTCACCACCTTAGCTACTGTGTGGTGAGCATAGTGGGGCAGAATGGCTGCTGTCGCATCACCCAGGTGGGGGGGGGACACAGTGGTGGTGGTTCAGTGGGCTCCCCATTGGTTCTGTAAAGCGCTTTGGATGTTTCAACAAGCTAACTTTCATTCATTCAAATTTAAGCTAAGCTTTGCAAGCTATCGACAAGAAATTAGGAAAATTTTAGATCAGAAAATTCACACCAAGGGCAATAAATTTACACTCACCCAGCTGCTCCAGCATCTTGTCACACTCATCCAGAACAAAGTGCTTGACGTTCTTGAGGCTGAGGGTCTTGTTGCGGATGAGGGCGAGGATCCGCCCGGGGGTGCCCACCACGATGTGCGGACAGTTCTTCTTCAGCACCTCTTCATCCTTCTTGATGGACAAGCCGCCGAAAAACACGGCCACCTTCACGGTGGGCATGTACTTGGAGAAGCGCTCGTACTCTTTGCTGATCTGGAACGCCAACTCACGCGTGTGGCACATGACCAGCACAGATACCTGCAGGGGTGAGCGATGGAGCAGACCACCAGATTAATTAGGAAATAAGACTTTATGCCACTAGGTGGCATCAGGGCAAATCTGCAGGAAGGAAAGTCAGCCTCTTTCAAGTAAATACTTCCAGCATGAGCGGAACCTCAAGGAATGAGGAACAAAAACACACATCTGGCTGCTTATCACTTCTCCATTGACAGCATTCAAACTACAGGAAGTGACATAATCCTACTTAGTCTCAAAAAAAAAAATCACACCATGATAGGGTGGCAGCAAATGTAACTAAACTAAATAAATGAACTGACTGGGCATAGTTTGGGCACCAACCTGTCCGTCCACAGGCTCTATCTGCTGCAGTGTCGCAAGCACGAACACGGCGGTCTTCCCCATGCCAGACTTGGCCTGGCACAGGATGTCCATGCCCAGGATGGCTTGTGGAATGCATTCATGTTGGACTGTACGAAAAAGGAGGGAGCAGAGACACAATTAAGCCGTCTACACACATGGAGGGCCACGCTGGAACAATGATACTAAAAATCGCCGTCGCATGTTATGCGAATAAATATGAGTTGTGATAGTAAAATACAGTAAAATTTGTTAAGCTTTGCAGTTTTACTAATATTTCCTTAAGACTAGGTATGCGTTTAAAAAAAAGTAATGTTTACTACCACTGATTGTACATAAGCAATACATGCGTTCTGTGAGCCAATCAGAATTACTGGTGCATTTGTGAGAAATGTAACAATGTGAGGGAAACTGTCCCAGAAAACCTGACCGCTTAGTGTCTGGCAACACTACACACTTACTCGACAGACCACTGGCAAGCATGGTGTTTGGTTATGGTATATTTCATTTACATCTCCAACTCCTTTCTGTTTTACGAACATGGCAATATCAATCATAAAAATTTCAACTATTGTGACGTGAATATTTTCCAGTACCATGCAGTCCTAGCTCATTCAGGAGCAAACTAATTCAGATTCGAAATCCAGAGCGTGGGATTCCCGAGCACCACTGTCCATTTCCCTACCGCCCAATGGGACGACAGCTGATGCGAGATAATCCCGCCCACCATGGAGCATTGAGCTCGATTTGTCTCTCCTCATCACCATCATGTCCTGCTAATACAGACATTACGGTACTAAATCCTAATCATTGTGTTATTCAAAACAGAATGAAGAAACTGAACAGGCAGCAGGATCAGCTCCCAGGAGTAGAACTGGTCTTGCACCTCTAAGCATGACACTTAAGGACTTTAGGTAGAATTTGGAGGGTGGAACGCCTCAGAAGTACAGAGCAGCGGCAGTAACCTTCAGACGGATGCTCAAAGCCACAGTCCACGATGGCGCGCAGGAGCTCTGGCTTCAGCAGGAAGTCCCGGAAACCGGAGCTGTGGATGGACACATAGGAGCCCTTAACCTCCTTCTTCCCGGCTGGAGTGGCGTTCTCCGGGGCCGTCTGCTGCTCCTCATCGTCATCGTAATCCAGCAGCTCGTTGTCAACGTCATTCTCGGCCATGCTATCCTAAGAGAGGGACAGTCAGGCACACAAATTTAATAGCCACTCCACATATATACACACACATAATGGAATTTAACTTCATACCAGGTGAATCTCTTAGGTGGATTTCGACCATCAAACCCCATCACTTCAGTCAAATAAAAAATAGACATGCAAATTAAGGAATAACAAAGTACCATAAATATATTGTACTGGTGAAATCCAATATGACTACACCAGGAGGGAAAACCTAGCCAATGTTACCTGCCAAATAGCACCATAGAGTCAAGACAATCGGAGGGAGAAAAAAAAGTACTCGCCTACTAACTTGCATTTACTAATTATCGTGGACCCATCCCACCAAGTAGCATCTCTGAAGAAAATCACTCGTCATATTAAGTAGAATTAATAACGATAATCAACTCATAAAAACCAACTATGGTGTCCTATTGCTGTGCCTCTAGCCAAGCAGGGCAGCCAATGGCCTGTTGGAAACACAAATCTGCTTTATCTGTGTATTCTGTTTTTCACAAAAGTTAAAATAGGAGGTCGTGTGTTTATTAAACTCTGTTATTTTTAATTTGCACTTGACAGTAAAATAAAAGGTAAGGTTTTGCCATGCAGGGGGAGTGGTGGGTCCATGAAGGTTTTTTTTTGCCTTCGGCCCCCAGCCTCACTAAAATCGTCCCTGCTGGTGGTGATATTGGGGCAGATATTGAACGCATTGGACCTGCTATCGAGAGCACTGTGCGAAGTGACCCTAGAGCCGGCGGCGTCAGCCTCAAACAGCGCCGGCTAACAGACAGCAGCCATCGCGCCCGTTCCGCTGGCTACAATCGGCCAGCGTCGCCATTTTCACGCTGGACGGCGAGGGCGGCCGCTACTGACAGGCAGTGTGTGGAAAAAGGGGCAAATGAAACACATAGGCACCAGAATAAGGCCGAAGACACCCAATGACTACGCTGATGTGAAGCTTACAGGAAGCACGGCTATGGCGCCAAACATCTTCATTCTAGCTCAGTTGTTAGTTAGCTTCAGGCGAGCTGGGTATGACTCAAACCACCGAGGCCCTAGCTTTATAACGCAGCAAAATCCAATTTTCAAAACTGAACTGTAAAGAAATGCAATCCGCATTCCTACCCCATCCGTAAAAAAAAATAATAATAACCGGCAGGATCTTTCAAATCGAGCTGCCTTTTTGCGACTTTACAGTAGCATCGGTTTGCAGCATGTTAGCTTGATTTTTCATTCTGCATCGACCAAGTAAACTGGCGCCCGCAATTTACGACATAAACAAACATAAAAAATATCGTATTATATAAAAACATCAGGACAAATCCTTCCTACTGGGGGCGCTTTTTCCAGCAATATGCTAGTCGCCTTAGCTAAGTTAAACCGTCTGCAAGCAAACAAAAGAACGTGTCTTGCTGAGTTTTATTTAAACCGTAGCACTCAGTCAGCATACAAATTAATTACATAATTAGATACAGTACGCATCCTATACCTATGTGCCGTATTCTCAGCCAATTCAATAAAAACTATTCAATACAATTAAACAAACGAACGATCGCTGCTATATAGCATGTAGCTAATCATAGTATTGCTTTGTATAAATTAGCTTTCATTATTGTTATAATAACGTATTTATTAATATACACACGCTAACTCATTGTAATAATACGTGCATATGAAAGGTAAAGAAAATGCCTGATTTAATTCAAGTATAACAATTACCCAATTCTTACCTTAAGCTGAAACAACAAGACAAGCTACTGGAGCCGCTAATACAACCCACATGTGCAGGCCGCAACTTTTCACCAGTATCCGGAAATACCGCCCCCTCTGCTCCTGCCGCGACCATTGGCTGAACGGGAGTTAAATTCGTTGACATCCTTAAAAGACGTGCCCAATACAGTGCTTTGATTGGTGTACTCACCTGTCAGTCAGTGTAGTCCCGGTTGAGAATGAATAGGGGGGCGCTCCTTCATAACGCAGGCAGTGAAAGTACCGGCTTGGCAGGCAGTACTGGTAGTAAATGGAACAGAGAAAGTACCGAAAGTACCGTACCAAAAAAGCTCGGTACTTGGTGCGGTGAAAAAGCGCCCCCAGTAGGAAGGATTTGTCCTGATGAAGTATTACACTCTGCTTATTTATTTTAGAAAATATTCACCTATTTTGTTTGCAAGCTACAGTTTTTTAAATATATGGATGTGCCATACAAGAATCATTATTTTGCTACATATGCCCAAAAGATAATTTCACCATCACTTCACTTTGCTGTTAGGCAAAGTTAAATGTTATTATTATTATTAGTACCTAACAAATTATACTCTTAGTAAAATTTTGAATATATATTTTTGTAATATATTGTTTGAGCGTGTGCTCTTGATAAAAATGACTTTCTTCAGGGCAATGATATTCTTATCACAGTGAAGGAGTTCAACAGGGTACGTGTTATCCATCGGCGTCGCCGCCATTAAATCATTAAATTTCATAATTATTCGTTTGGTTTCTATTGGTTCACAAAAGAATCCATTCCACTTGAACGATAGAAGAATACACATACCACTGAAGGACCACTCCGGGTTACCTACAACTGACCACATGCAAGTGAAGTAAATCGCGTGATGACGTCATTTTTAAATGAGTACCACTAAATCGGAAAAAAAAGTAAAAGTCCCCCCCACAATCAAAATGCTTCTGACGCCCCTGGTGTTATTTAATTATGTATCCTAAGACCACCACCAGGACAACTACAGTAGGTATGAGCTATTTATAAGGAATCAAACCTAATATTAGTATGAGTATACTTAGTATTCTTGCATTATTTTTCTTAATTTCAGTTGTATTAAGGAGGGTACAAAGAGAAAACTCTCACCTTTGATGTAAAATGTGTGCAAACATTCATTGAAAAATATAAACCATATTGAGATGCACCTTCCTGACTCCTCTGCTATACCGAGCATCTTGGTCTGAGAGGATAAAATCAGTGTTGCATATATTCCTCAGAAGTCGTAGTACAACATAGCAGGGTTACAGACATTTGGTGAACAAACTATGTTGAAATACCCTATATCCATAAAGCATTAGTTGAATTTCTGTTTATTTACCAAAATTATTTGTAACAATAAATGTGCAGCAATGCCTTTTACCCACTGACATGTTTAATTTAGGCAGGGTTATTTACAGTCCTGCCCTTTCATCCACACAAGCATGCATTCACCCTGTCACACTAGTACTAATGTCTTTCAATTGTTGGAAGAAAACTGGAGAAGCAGAAGGAAGTACAGAGAAGCACGAGGAAAATGTGCAAATACCCTCCTTCCTTCTCTAAATCAGCTCAGGAGACGGTGAGTGAGATCAGCTGTCAGTTTCTCGGCAAGCAACTTTCGCAGTGAAAACATCTTCAGATGTGATTCAGTGATAGAATTTAGGTTAGATGGAGTAACTGCGGAGCTGCACACAGGGGATCTGAACGATACCTATTGCGGGAAATTCAGCAGCTGTTTTCTTGTTTGTTCTCTATCAGAAAAGTGGCTCATGTTGCTTTTCTGTTGTCATGGTCTTTGTATACTATACCGATTCCGTGGCTTAGAGGCAAAAATCAGGCGGCAGGAGATCAGGACCACTCGGAAGACAAATGATGTTACAGCATCCCTCGGGGCAGCACACTTAAATAAACGTTGCGGCGTGGTCTTCGCGGCCATACGCTTGGCAGCTACGCATGGCCTGCAAGCTGCATGCAGCCGTCCCGGGGTCCTTTGATCTATATCTGTGACTCAGACAGGAAGCGCCACTGCGCCGTGGAGAAGGCCGGGAAGCCGTCGGAATCCGGACGCGAGCCGGCAGAGGTGCCCGGCCTCGACAGGAACTCCCTGATGCGTGGGGGCAAGGAATGGAGCAGCCAATCCTCAACCAGCAGGCCGCCTCCCTGCAGCCCGATGCAGCCCTCCAGCTCAGCAGGCAGGCCCACCAAGCAGTTCCCAACCAGGTCCAGTTTGGAGAGCTGTGTCAGAGTCCCCAAACCAGGTGGCAGGGCACCCAGGGAATTGTGGGCCACGGCCAAGCTGCTGAGCCGAGAGCAGCCGGAAAACAACTCGGGCGGCAGCTCCTCCAGCTGGTTGCCGCTCAGATCCAGCTCTACCAGCAGTGCCAATGCGCCCACCTCCGCCGGCAGCTCCTCCAGCAGGTTGCTGGCGAGCAGGAGGCACCGCAGGCGGCGCAGGGTGAACAGCGTGGGCGGCAGGGCCCGCAGCTGGTTGTGCGAAAGGTCCAGCAGCTCCAGGCCGCGCAGTGCCCCCACGCTGGCGGGCAGCGCCAGCACGCGGTTGTGGGCTAGCCGCAGATACGCCAGCCTGCGCAGATGCTGCAGGCCCAGCAGCTCCTCCAGCGTCCGCAGGCAGTTGTGGCAGACGTCGAGGCTGCGCAGGCCGGCCAGGCCCAGGAGGGCGGAAGGCAGGCGTTCCAGTTGGCAGCCGTGCAGCGTCAGCTCCTCCAGGCCGGCAAGGCGCCGCAGTCCTGTCAGCGCCAGCAGGCGCGCGCCCTCATTATGCACCTCCAGCCGCGCCAGGCTGCCCGCCGCCTCGCCCAGCTCCCCCGGGAGTCGCTGCAGCTTCCCGCTCCTCAGGACCAGCACCCGCAGGTGGCGGAGCTGCCTCAGGCTGCCCAGCGCCCAGCCCCGGTGCACGCCGCTCTCCCCGCTCAGCCGGCCGCTGAGGTGCAGCTCCTGCAGCCCCCGCAGCGTGTACACCCAGGCCGGCGTCTCGGACGCGTGGCTGAACGTCAGGTGGAGACGGTCCAGACGCTCCCGCAGCACGGCCAGGGCAGCTGGCTCCACCTCGGCGGTGCAGTGGTACAGGTGCAGCTCTCTGTGGCATGAGGGGGGAGACAAAAATGGCTGAAGGCCCCTCCCCTAATTACATACAGTCAGCTGAATGAGCACGCTCTCCGTTCTATGGTGGGAACCACGTGTCCTGACTGACAGGGCCGCGAGATTAGAGCTGAAACTGAAAAAGTTGTAGTTCTTGGGTGCAGGGGCAGCAGAAATAGGGGGGGGGACAGGACTGGGGGGGGCATATCGGGGGAGAGTCCCCCAAAATAAACAAATGAGTCATAGTGTGTTCCTTATCTATATACCTAATAAAGATTGTAGTCCTGTATCAAACACAATCATTTTCTCCTATGGATCAGCTATTTGTCTTTTGTGAAACTGTATGCTAAACTGTCATTTTAAACGATGAAATCTTTTTATTCAAAAATTAATTTGCAATCTTTCTCACATCACATCCTGTCAATTGTGTGCCTGTTGTGATGTCACGATATACATTCTTGACAGACGTCTCTGTTTCATCACTCACTCGCCGTCCTCATCCTCTTCCAGGCCATATCCACTCTGTCGGTGTGAGGTAAAGCGTTGGCGTGGTAATACACTCTATGTCCAAAAGCATGCGGACACGCCTCTCAATTAGAGGAATCGCCTAATGAAGTCACACCCATTGCTGACAAAGGTGATAATTTAGCACGCAGTCACGCAATTTCATTAGCAGCAGAGTGAGTGGCCAGACAGGGAGGTTAGTGACTTTCCACTCGGCACCATCAAAGGACAATGGCGTCTTTCCAACAAATCAATTCGCCACATTTTTTCCCCTGCTAGTGTTGTCCTGGTGAGCCGCGAGTGAAGTGATCGTGAAGGTCAGAGCATGTGGGAGCCAGTTCAGCTGTGAAGTGGTCGGTCACACAAGCTCACAGAAAGGGAGCTGATCACTCAACATCAACACCCAACCTGAATGGCAGCAAATCCCACCATCAATGTTCCAGTATGTAATGGAAAGCTGTCCAAGAAGAGTAAAGGCTATTACAGCAACTAAGGGCCAACCAACTTCCTATTAATACCCCTTGGTTTTTGGAATGAAATGTTAGTCAAGCTGTTGTCCACATACTTTTGGACGTTTAGTGCGTTCAGATTTACATGAATGTCGGCACCGTGCGCAGGCACACCTGAGGGAGGTCATGTGGGAGAGCGGGGCGGGCAGCTTGGCGTCTGTGATCAGCTCCAGTTTGAGCACCTCCAGCTGGCTGAGGGAGAACAGTGCAGGTGGGAGGCGCGGCAGAGCAGCCAGCTGCAGCGAGGGGCGGCCGTGGGCGTCGGGCCTGATCATGGATCGCAGCCGGTCGATGCCCCAGTTCCTCTCCAGGTTCTCTTCCAGGAGACAGGTCTCGCTGACGGGCGACAGGAACACGGCGAGGCGCTGGGCCAGGAGCGGGTCGTACTGGTCGGCCATGTGCAGCAGGAAGGCCAGGTCGTTACAGAGGTCCGGGACGTCCCGCATGGACCCGGCCTCATGCAGCCGCTGGAAGGAGTACCTCCGCAGTGACCTGGGGAGGCCCAAAAACCCCCACACTGAGTGAACCCTCCCCAAACAGAAGAGGCATCACAATATGCTGGCCATTTGCGACCCCAAGCACTTTTTCTGGAACATTCCATCCTCTGAATAGCTCTTTCATGACTTCGATATTTGGCTTTCATCAAAAGGAACGAACAAGGCTCCATATCCCTTGAAAATCATAGCCGGACTCCCGTTAACTCAGCTGAAGAGTGAATTTCGGAAAATCTGTCCATTTTTCGTTGTTTTCGAGATGCGCCCGTCAGCGATTTAAAGACAGGCTTCCTTAAAGACAGGCTTCCTTAGAGACAGGCTTCCTTAGAGACAGGCTTCCTTAAAGACAGGCTTCCTTTATCATGTTACAGTATTGGGAATCAAAACACGTAATCCCAGGTAACTCATTAAATTTCCAAAATTCCACAGAAATGTTACTTACAAACTTATCCCATCTGCATATTCTGTGTTCTGAGTTTGCAAATTCGCTCATCAATTGGTTAGCATGATGAACTACTAGAATATCATTGAAGGGAAGAGAATATATATGTAGTCTAAGCAGCCATATCTACAAACCTGTGGCAGATCCACGTCAGGGCGTAGATGGCCAGCAGGCCAAAGAGGCTGAGGAGTGCCATGTAGGTCAGCACCAGGTGGCGGAGAACAGGGGCCAGGTGGTGGGTGCAAAGGAAGGAGCTGTAGCCTGTTAGGGCATGAACCTGCGGCTGGCAGGTATGGCTGAAAGAGACGGACTCCAGCAGTGGAGCCGTGTAGCTCAGGATCAGCACGACCATCAGCACCTTGAACAGCGTCTGAACTCTGTACACCTGCAGCAGGACCGGGGCACAGGTGACGCCCACACAGGCGGGAACAACAAAGCCAATAAATATTAGCTACTTTGAAAAATTGCAAATGTGATCTTACTGTTTTTCTTAAGATTTAAAGAGCTGCGGAGGCACCGGTAGAGATTTTGGACCCCATGAATGCATATCACAGCGCTGAACTTGGCTTATTATAAGAGGAGAGAAATACATTGATGAACAAGTATTGTGCAGTTCATAATTTACATATTATAGGTGATAAAATACAGAAATGATTTAAGAACCTTTGGCGAGCAGGGAGGTGAACGAGAACAGGGATTAAGGCCCAACCTGGAAGATGATGTCAGAGGCCTCGCAGTGAGCACGGAACTTGCGAACCCGCTCGAAGAGCGCCCGGGCCTGCTCCCCATCGCTGCGGTCCAGGCAGGCCGCCCGGGGGGCGTTACCCGGGGTCAGGGTGTTTTTGGGTGCTGTGGAGACGGGGCAGAATGACAGGGAGGAGAGGGAGGAGGAGCAGGAATGGATGGAGGAACAGGGGGATGGGGGCACAGTGGGGAGTGCCGACACGCAGCCGGGCCGCGGTATCTGGGGGCTGTCGGTGCCCGAATCCAGGCTGGAGTGCCTGCCTAGGGAGGGGGGCTGGCCAGACCCTGCCTCTTCCACTCGGCCCCCGGTGGCATCCATCTGGGCTGCACGCGAAAGCGCGCGGGAGGTCCAAGGTGACTCGGTGCACTTGCCCAGAATGGCGATGAAATGCTCGATGCGGGCGGACGTGCGGGGGAAGTGGAACCAGAACCAGCCGCTGGCGAGGAGCAGCAGGGACTGGAGCAGCGCCACATAGGGGAAGAAGCGGGAATAGCAGGGCAGCGACTCGTGGTAGCACACGTGACTGACGTACATGTACTGCTGGAAGTCCAGGTGCGTGCGCCGACCCTGCGGGGTTGGGGGCCGGGTGGGATCTCTGAGGGAGTCTGGCGTCTGAATGTTGGGGGAGATCGGAACTGGGGTAAGTGAGATGCGGCTCGGCGTAGAGGTGCTGTGGTCCAACGAGTCGGACGGGAGGCAAACCACCCCGTCTCGCGACAGCAGCAGTGTCCCTGCTACCACTGACAGCATTAACATCAGCAGCACCAGATAGTCCATGAAGACCTCCCACCACGGCTTCAGCAGCCTGTGGCTCACCTGCGGCTCGCTTAGGGGCGACAGCTCTGACAGGGAGAACATGACCTCCTGATGGGAAAGAGGAGCGGCAGCAGGTCTTCAGAAGAAGAGTCCAGTCAAGCAAGGGATGTTAGCAGATGAATGGGGCGCTTATAAAACGTCCGTACATGCATCAGCAAAAGAACAGAATGAAAGTGATTAAGTTATACGTTTCTTTTAATAAAAAAAAATGTACAGGCGAATCAGCAAAGATTACTGAAGTAATCCGTTAACAATCCGTTACTGAAGTTTCCGTTAACAATCCTGAAACGCATCCTTGAAGTCATTAATATTCAAGTGGTACTACAGTCTACTTTCGATGTCTAAAACGACAAAATAACTAACAATACATTTCAAATGAAGGCAATTAGAGTTTAAGTAGTTTTTAAAACTTACTCGTTGCAAGTTTCCAGACTGTGAATGGCTCCTAACGTGTACGGGTTAGATAACCAAAGGGATAGTTGCTGTGAATTGCCTTCAGTTCATTAGTCCGGCGCAGTCCGGTTCTCTCAGAGCTCACAGTGGGGCTTCAAAGGCACCGAGCAATGCGGAATCCCCGATTTCAGGGGGCGAATGTGCTGCAAGCGGGTAACATGGACACAGCACGCGCCAGCTTCGGCTTATACTGCGGTTGTCATGGTGATTAGCGGCGTCCATTGAGAAGTTTAAACAAAATAACCGGGGCACGACGCCTACCGACTTTAACTTACCGTAAACTCAATTTACTGCACGCTCAGATTTGTCATTTCTTAATTCCTTGTTCACCTTAATAGGCCTACCTACTCATAAAGATGTATTTTTACGATGTCATGCCATGTTCCCACAGTTGAAGCAGATTTGGAATCATTAATTTAATATTAGATGTCGGCCAGGTTAACGTGAATAACTTAATGGTTTTTGTGCCTTTAACACGCCATTGAAACGGCCTGAATGCAAGACTGTAAATGCAAGTTCCGTCCACTTGGGGTCACTAAAGGTTAACATCGCAGGGAGCTCACGAAGGTCACAAAACGGAACGATTTCGGAACAGTTCATATTTGCAAAACTTCTCAAACTCCCTCCACTAATACCGGCACTTTAATGTGTAAATAGTCATTAACCATTTATTAGCCACAATCATGGTACATTTCTTTGTATTAGAAATAGACCGTTAAAAACGCTTTTCTAAAATGACGGTGTTCCTTAACCCTCATCTTTCAGAATGTTAAGAGGGATGCAACTGGATATTTTATTATATTGCAAATAATATGAATAATGTTCATATTCACAGTGATATTTACTTATAGAATTAAAAACAAACTAAATAATGTTAAAACAATGTTCCTGTTTTTAAATGTCACTGTTACCAGCTCCTAGAAAAAGAAACTCCAAAGAAATGTCATATCTTACAGATATGTCATTCCAGTAAAAAATAAATATTTGGCCTGGTTAATTTTCTGGTTAATTTTCATATGGGTCCCATAGAAAAATGTGTGAAAGGACGAAGATTTTGATAAATTCAGGTTACCGAGTGGATCTGCATTTTAAATAGCCCTTTTAACCCATTGGGCATTCCCGGTTTCGCGTTTCCGTTTTGTCTGAATCTGATTGGTCAGAATAGTTACAGAGTGGGCGGTGCCCGTGGCCATGTGGGCGTGGTCTCTTGGTCTCCTTGAGGAAGCTCCTGCAAACTGACAGCTGAGAGTTTTTTTTCTCCCAAATGGAGAAGCCTCTGTTGCTGGACAATAGTGGCATGGCTGCTACGTGGCTGTTTATCGCACAATGAATAATAGTCTTACTATGATGTCAATTATATGCTGAACAAGAACAGGAACGGATCAGGCGTGTCTATCGAACAGAACAACTGGAATCATGTATCCCACTTTCAGGTCGGATGCGTTCTTGCATTTTCCTAAACGGTGGTTATTCGTTGAGATCATTGTCTATTGCAGTCGTAGTCATTTGTTATGTTTTTGTGTGTTTAACTGCATTGGTAGTGACAGTGATAGCAACCGCTAACGAATGACTCGGAACAAAGCGAAGATGCCACTGTCCCTAAATTACCATGATGGGCACCTGCTGTATTTGAATGTGCTCTGCCGTGGCTCATGCAAACGCATCTCATAGCCGGAGGCAGAAGCAAAACAGCAACTGTAAAGCATCATATACCGGAAAAAAACAATAAACGTGCATTATCGATACAAATTTCCTCCTCGGCACAAATGCCTGATCGTTTTGTAAATTATAGCGCGATCGGTTTTGTGACTAGCCAGATTTTTGCTGAAAAATAAACAGGTGCATACTGACGGCCCTAGTCACATGTTAAATATGTCTTTTCTATCTTCACGTGGATATATCGCGCAGTGCGTCGCAGATCCGTACATGTATGTGTATGCTACCGGTGATGATGTCAAACACTATTCATATGTCAGTTACACAATAACCTGATTATTTCCAGACGTCAGTGTCGTAGTTTTTGTTCGTAGGCTACTGAGAACCTATATCAGGTTTTATACCTATAGTATTAATGTGTTTTAAATGCCATTTGCATTTTTACGATTTTGAGATTTCATTATTATGACTACATGGATGCTGCAGCTCTGAGAAATGCGTTGATGGATATGCATCGTTTTCAATTTTTTGTATTTCTTCTTTCGGGAATACTTAGAAACGATCCTTCATTAATTTCTAGGAATAAGTGAACGCTGTGTAAAGGAATAGGCTATTTTCCGTATACCCATGACGAACAATAAACGCAAGAGGAGCGATGAAATTTTAAGTTTCGTTTATAAATGTGGAATGTGTTAATTACACGAGGAAATAATGCGGCGCTGGCACAGTGCCTTAAACAGCGCTGAATGGGATTTTCAGCGGTATCATTTTCACCGCTTTGTACCGGCTACCCGCTCATGGCTGCGCCGCTTATACAAAAGTTATGATGACCGACAGTGTTGTCAGGTTCTTTGGCAACTTTAGCGTTGCGATTTGTGCTTCGGTAATATAATGACCAATGGGGAAATTAAGGTCGTAGAACCACATTTTGAGTAAATATATTCTTGTTGCATGTGGGCTATTGATTTACCAAATATTTTATTTTTGAAATACATGATACTTTATTGCCCGATCCTGAGTTGTTCCCTGTCTTGCGCCCATAGTTCTGGACAGGCTGAAGACGCCCAGTCGCCCCTAATAGGACACGCGGCTACAGAAAATGTATGGATGGATGGATAATAGTTTATTTATTTGCATGAACTTTGTGGCAGGTTCGGCCCCTAGTGTAGCCAAGGATCATGTTGCTGTGCGCGTTTCCTGCCTTCATTCTCCTTTCTCGTCTCCATACCAGTGAATACGGACAATAGACTCTGCCCTGCAACCCTGCTGTTATCCACGGCACTCTCTGAGCGCCCCACCCTGTCTCTTGCACCCGTCATGCCCCACAAAGTGTGGCGTTCTGACAAGCTGAGCTACCTATCGAGACGTTCTATCGAGCCTTTCTGCGCATGTGCAATTCCAACGTTTTAGGGTTAGGTTTTGGGGGTTAGGGCTATCGATTAGCACTACGGTAGCCTAACTCGACAAAGTAGCTCAACTCGTCAGAACACCGGTCTATTAGAGTGCACGTGTGAACAGGGTGCCCTAATGCCATTATCTGTCCTGCCCATACATCGTCACTTCGGACGCCCTTATAAAGGGATGGCACTTTCTGCTATGCTGTCGACTCGCGGACATTCCCCTTTAGGTGTGACTTAACCTACTAGATCGTGGGTCTCGTGGTTTATTGTTACCCATGTTATTTAAGTTAAGCACATAACTGAAGGGTTACACGGACAGGGGCAGTGCCCCTGTGATCACATGCCCCCCCGGCCCCCCTAAATGCGTATGCTACTTCTGAAATAAAGGTATTATTATTATTATTATTATTATTATTTACACGTATATACAGTGCTCACAGTTTTAAATCTTAAGACATTTGCTTAATTCGGTAAAAATATTGCAAATGTATTGCAAAAATCCTTACTTTATTTACTTGTGAAATATATATAATTGGAAGTTTTAAAGTAAAAAATTCATTTTAAGTAGTAATAAATTGAAAGTCAAATTATAGTTCTGAAAGAGCTGCTCTGAGTAAAAAGTTCATTGACAAGCATCACTGGGTGTTTTTTAATTAGCAACAACTTTGCAATAACATGAAACACCAGACATTTGTGTTCAGCATCCATTTGGAAGCCAATGACCGCAGCTGCAATTATAGCAAAATGGTAAGAATAGTCAAATAAATTATGACACGTAATAAAAAGAAAATGTCTGTGCAGGAGATATGTGTAGTATGTTAAACATTGATTGTCAATTAACTTTTGTTATGAAAGCAGTGGTGGAGCTACAGTTTTTTACATGGGGTGGCCAGGGGGGGGGGCACTGCTATTTCAGGGGGTCCACACACACACGCAGTTGAAATAATAAATTAAGGAATTCAAAAGTTTTATTTTATTTTATTCATTCAAAATATGAAAATATAATAATTTACTCATCATCTACTCACTTTGTTGTGAGTTAATAAGTAATGACAGTATTTGTTTTTTTTAGTTGAACTTTCCTGTAGCTCAGCTTAAATTCTAACATTGTTTGAAACATGTGATTGCCTGGTAGATGCTCTGACCTGCTGGTGGACCTGAAGTCTGACCACACAGACTCTGACTAGTCTCAGATATGGAGCTGCTGTGGGATCCAGTGCAAAGGGTAGGGTCTGTTTGAACCTGATCTGCCTGTTTGTGCTTCTTTATAAAGAAGTCTGATATCTCGCCCTTTCTTTTCATGTTTAATTGACCCTGTGCAAAAATATTACAGTCTGGTTACATCTGATCCAGTTAGAAACACACATTAAAATCAGAATACAGCTAGCCTAACATTACTTCCCCATATTAGCAAAATATTTGAGCATCGTAAATTAAATATAATAACTTAAATACATGGTATGTGCATGTAATACTAGCACAGATGAAGTATAGCGTTAACTGTCTAAAGTGCGAATTGATGTCTCTAATCTCATTAAGTTAACTGATGTTGTCGGCGCCTCGTTAACTTACACAGCGGATAATAAATGTTACTCAGCAAACAAACCTTACAATAAACTATAAAACGTATTTAAAATATGATGTTTTATTATTCGTCTTACCTTGAAACCATGCTATTATCTTCGGCTCGTCTTTGATTTGAAAATAGCTTGAGCAGCGTTGCCGGCAAAATTCAAAAACTTCTTTAGACAAATGAGATGTCAATCAGCATCAGGAACTGCCAGCAGCAAATAAAACTTTGGGGTGGCACCCGGGGTGGCCAATCGGATGTCAGGGGTGTCCAGTACCACCCCGGACACCCCTCTGGCTCCGCCACTGTATGAAAGCAATATATTTGCAACATTATTACAGAATCAAGCAAGACTTTCTGTGAGTGCTGTGTATGTAGGCAAACAGAAATGTAAGCAGATTTTCTTGATGGACACTTTAAACTGGTGTCGAGTCACTTCAGCTTGTAAAAAGCGAAGTTAATGACAGAAAAAATCATCAAGTTTGTGGAAGCAAGACAGTTGGAACAAGAAAAGGCTCAGTTACATATTTGTAAAAACCTGTGAAATGTAACCACAAAACACTGTATAATTAAACAACATATCCACAAATTTGAAACACTGGTTTTCAAAATTGTCTTTTGCTTCTTAATGCTGGCAAGTGAAATACATCTGGTCCCCCTCTCAGTACAATTGGCCCCAGTCTGCACCCAACTGCCCCCCCGCTTGAAATGCTCAACAGACCGACTTGGATCTCCTAGGTTACTTCGTTAGTCCCCTTCCGTGTTGAACCATCCTCTGTGTTTCATTGCACAGGTGTGACGGCTGTGATAAGCTCCGGCCTCGGAATTGAAGCCCCCCCCCAGCAGCAGAGAGGGCGAGGACAGAGTGAGGAGTGAGGACAGCGTGAGAAATGTCCACCCCGCAGGGCAGCCCAGAGCGGCCTGCCTCGCCCTCATTCCCACACGCCGACTCCTGCCTGTCCGCTGGCAGCCCTGTCCTCAGCCCGGACTCCACTTACCATGATGCCGTTCTCTACTCCACTTACCACGATGCCGCGCTCTCAGCTGCTGCCACCTCACCCTCCGACTCGGAGAACCTCAGCCCAGAGGAGCTGGAGCTGCTGGCCAAGCTGGAGGAGCAGAATAGGTGAGTGCTGTGTGAGTGTGAGTGGGGGGGGGGCTGTTTCCATCAGCACCAGGAGGGAGATGTCAAGGGACAAGTGCCGACTGAACACTGCCCATCAAAGACAGCCAGCATGGGGGTCACTGCTTATGTGGCATTAAGATGAATGCTGGTGAGACTCTAACAAAGCATCACATGTTTTGTGAAAGTTTTCACATAACAGGAAAAATGGAAAATATTAAGCTTGTACATTGAGGGATTCCTTATTATGATAGTTACAAAATCGTTACATTGCATAAAATAGACAAAACCAATCAGTCTCAATGTCACTTTTCCAATGCGAACAGTCCGCATACAGCCCCTTTTACTTGGATTGATCTTGAGTTTTTCTAAAAACACTGCAGTTTCCTTCCTCTCCCCCCCCTTTCTTAAAAAGGGAATTTTGGGAATAAAACTATAAAAGTCCACTATAAAAGTCCCGGCGTCACATGACCAAGGCGCTCCAACGTTCCCCCCGGATGTGATCTGTATGGTTCCCATAAAGGACGCTGGACTGTCACTGCGTCTTGTCCGCCAGTTGGGGGCGCCGGCTGGCCCCTTCCATCACTTTCCGCTGTGCCGTCGCGTGCAGATGCTTGGCACTGTCCGGCGTGGCCCTGAAAGCGGCCTAACGAGCCCTGCTCTGCTCCCAGGCTGCTGGAGATGGACTCCAAGTCGCTGCGGGCCGTGAGCGGCTCGCGCCGCAACTCGGGCTCCCTGCTGGTGTCCAGCTGCTCCGCCTCGTCCAGCCTGTCCCAGCTGGGGGAGGACGCCTGGGTGCTGTGGGGGCGCGTCGTCAGCGAGTGGGACGAGTGGCGGCGGAAGAAGGACAAGCTGCTGAAGGTGGGGAGGGGCCCGAAAACAGCCAAGCCGTCAGGGGGGGGGGGCCACTGTGACGCCTGTCTGTCTGACCCGCCCCCTCCACCCCAGGAGCTGATCCGGAAGGGCATCCCGCACCACTTCCGGGCCATCGTCTGGCAGCTGCTGGGCAATGCCACGGACATGCCGGTGAAGCAGCAGTACTCGGAGCTGCTGAAGATGTCGTCCCCGTGCGAGAAGCTGATCCGCCGCGACATCGCCCGCACCTATCCGGAGCACGAGTTCTTCAAAGGCCAGGACAGCCTGGGTCAGGAGGTGCTCTTCAACGTCATGAAGGTGAGGGCGCGGGGCGGGGCGGGGCGCGGGGCGCGGGGTTTGCCTGGTGTCTGAGCCGATCTCTGTGTCACCAGGCCTACTCGCTGGTGGACCGGGAGGTGGGATACTGTCAAGGCAGCGCCTTCATCGTGGGACTGCTGCTGATGCAGGCGAGTAGAGCCGGTCTCAGCTGCATCCGCCCCGGGCAGCACGGCGGCGCTGACCCGTCCTCCCCACTCCCAGATGCCCGAGGAGGAGGCCTTCTGCGTGTTCGTGCGGCTGATGCAGGAGTACCGGCTGAGGGAGCTCTTCAAGCCCAGCATGGCCGAGCTGGGTCTCTGCATCTACCAGTTTGAGTACTTGCTGCAGGTACCGTTACACCCGTGGTATCGTAGTTTTGAGCTTTTCAATTTAGTTTTTATTTTTACATAATTTTCAATTTTCATTAGAAGGCATCATTAGATTTAATTCGTTTCAATGTGGTTTAGTAATTAATTTTAAGACATATTTCTGTTTAGTTTTTATATATTTTTTATTTTTGTTTTAGTTTAGCTTCAGTGTTTTTATTTCTAGAGAGTTGTAGTGATATTATGTGTGTGACAGTCCTAACTGAATACACAGTGCACTTGTACTAATGTCCTTATTAAGGGCAAAACATGTTCCAGGAATTTTTGATGGCAATTAAAGACAAACAAATCATTACTTTAGCTAAATAGTATTTAAAACGGTAACTGAAAGTTGATGTTTTTCTTATATTACACTTAGTTTCTGGAGCACGAGTTATAGTTTTGGTTTAGTTGTAGTTTTTTGTTTTATTTTCATATGTTATTTAAATTCAGTTTATGAAAATGTTTCCTTATACTCCTTTAAAGATAATTACCCTGCGTTGCACTATGCACTGGTATGCAGGTTTAGTTGGGAGCTGAACTGGTAATACCTAGGATTTGACTGTGTCTTTAGTTACTATGCCCCCTACTGTCTAAGAGAGGTTTTCTTTGTCAATTTGGCCGGGTTTTTAATGAGATAATTGCCCAAGATGGCCGAGACATTAGTGGGAGGGTAACTTCTTGTGGGTGTGTATTCATCTGGCCAATTAGAAGTAGTTGCATCTACTTTCAGCCAATCTCCTTAAAGTTTGGCATTGTGGAGTAGTGGGTAGCGCTGTTGTTGTGCAATTCTAAAGCTAAGGGTTCAGATCCTTGCTTCTCCCTCTTTGTGGAGTTTGCATGGAGGTTGGGGTGTGTTCCCTGTAATGGACTGGCCTCCCCTCCAGGGTGTCCCCCAGCCATGTGCCCTGTGCTGCCCTGGACAGGCTCCAGGCCCCCCTGCAACCATGATGAGGATAAGCAGTGGGAAGACAGACCGATGGATGATTTTCTTCAAAAATAGTGACAAGGGAGGAGCAGAAGGCCAAAATCTGCCACTTTCATTTACTGCTGGATAATGGCTTTTTTTTCACTGGTATGAATTGTTTAAACTGGAACGGTTTGGCTGGTATGTCAGCAAGCTGTGGCCTTAAGTAATAAATGTCATTTGGAGTGACGGTACATTCAGGCCAAAGAAGCAAATGAGTTAAACGCCGCGCTGGGAGCCCCGTGCGGCTTCCTCTGCCAGAGAGCGAGGTGAAGGCGGGGCTCCCTCTGCGGCCTCTTCATCCTCCTCATCATCCAGCTCCGCTCAAGATCCTCGGCCTGCCCTCATTCTCCCAGATCTTCAAGGAGGCGGAGCGTCTAAAAACAGCAGGGAGCAGCGGATGTCATCCCGTTTCTAACTGTAGCCGAGTGTCATCAGTCAGCAGCATGGAATAGTGCATGTATATGTGAACTGTGGTCTAAATGCCGCATCCACAAGGTGCTGTCATGTGACACTGTTGATGGGGAACTTAGTAATGCACTTAGTAATGCGGCTTGACTGGATTGCTGTTTAAATTCAGATCATTTTCTTGATATAGCTCAGCATTCATTATCCGTAAGAACTGCTTTCCTTACTGGACCCGTCATTAAAGATTTGCAGCAGCGTAGGACTGTGCGTGTTTGCTTTTTCATGGGGTTGTTTTGCACAAGGTTATTAAAATGTTCACCACTTTGGCTTCCTTGGTTTGACGTCTTTACAACACGTGGCCGATCTCGCTAAATGCTGCTCTACTTCTATACTTGTTTTTTTTTTTTTTTTTGCATTTATGAAAAAATACTTTTTGCTGTTCTGGATCATTATAGTAGAGCATCCATTGGCTGAGATGTAAAGGTAGTAAAGACTTTTTGCAAATAATTCAGAACCAAAGAGGTTAGACAGGATGGCTGTCTTTTTAAGTGATGCATGAGTGCATTTAGACTATTTAAAAATAAGGCCACATGTGCCTTAACACTTTTTCGGGAGCTGTCCTCAGGCTTTCTTTTCCTGTATTTTCAGTTGGGAAGCCATCTGCATTATTTCACAGAGACTTTTATCCGTAGCTATGTACATTTTTGAGATAGCAGGGTCAGCTAGTTGGGGTTAAGGGCCTCAATGATGACATCACTCAGTTGAATCTTGGATTTGAACGTATGACCTTCTGATGGCAAGCAACCTAACACACTGAGCCACACTCTGATCCCCGTATATGCAAATGAGGCTGACTGTGTGATCACCTGACTGTGTGGGCGTGGCTTATAGCTGTTCCCTCGTCCCCCCCCTAGGAGCAGCTGCCGGAGCTGAACATGCACTTCCGTTCCCAGAGCTTCCACACCTCCATGTACGCCTCCTCCTGGTTCCTCACACTCTTCCTCACCTTCCTGCCGTTGCCGGTAGCCACACGCATCTTCGACATCTTCATGTATGAGGTCAGAGATGCCTGCGTGGCCGGCCGTGTTCGCATGTGTGCATGGTTATAGTTTCACGCATATTCGGAGACCGTTTTCTAACTATTGTGTGCTGCTGAATCACTGATGGATCCATGCAGGGGCTGGAGATCATATTCCGGGTGGGCGTGGCCATTCTTCAATACAACCAGATGGACCTCATCCAGCTGGACATGGAGGGAATGTCCCAGGTACCCATCACTGGGAGCCAAATGCTGATCCTGGCAGCTCTCAGAAGTGAGATGGAACCAGAAGGAACATACAGGTTCCTGTTCAGTCGTGAACATTACAGCATCAAGCCCTGAAATAACCCCAGAGGTCAACCAGCAGTTGGGGGGCTGAAATAACCCCCAGATCTCCCCAGGTCTTCAAGAAAACAGACATTGCAAGACCATGAAACAAATAACCCTCATTTGAAGTAATGTTTACTTTAAAACATTTGAAATGCCAGAATTTAATTTTTGAGTTTTGTTGGATCTAAACTGTAGGTTATCTTCACTCAGAAGTCCCCACAGAGGTTGTAAGCATAACCTGTTTGTGTGTGTCTCCTGTTCCGGCCTCCACAGCACTTCCAGAAGGTGATTCCACACCAGTTTGACAGCTGCCCGGACAAGCTAGTGCTGAAGGCCTACCAGGTCAAATACAACGCCAAGAAGATGAAGAAGTACGAATGCCACGTCTGGAAGAAGTGTGATGATTACTTGGGGTGACACCTGTCTCATCGATTTAAACTGATCTGCGAGGCTAATGGGACTCTGACACGCTTGAAGTGAAACATGGAATCTAACTAGAGATATTTTAAAGCTGAGAATAATGATTAGGAAACACAATTAATCAGTGATCAGTATGACATTGTTCTGAATAAGAGGTAATGGAAGACGACCCCTTTCTTACTGACCCTCTGCTTTCACAGTGTTGGCATGTTGGGTACAGCTGTAGGCAGGCATTGCGGGTGGCACTGGGGGTAGCAGAATCATTATATTGTGTACGGGGGCCAGTTTCTCACAGGGTTTTCCCGCTGACAGGTTGGAAAAGGAATACACCACCATTAAGAACAAGGAAATGGAGGAACAGATCGAGATTAAGGTGAGGAAGCCACTGGTACAGGAAGCGGAAGGGAAAACGACACAGGTTCCATTTCAGTGTACGACATTTTGTTCACGTTGTTTTGGGGGAGGGGGTGGTGGGGTAGTGAAGGAAATCGTTTATTAAGATAAGCATCAAATGTTATGAGTGGATTCCACTATATAGGTTGTGTCTGATTCTCTCTGGAAATGTGATTATTTAAAATGATTTCCTTACGGAAGTACACTTTTACTGTGCAAACGCTGATGCTGTGTCTGCAAACGCGACTGTTTAATATCTGCCCGTCTGAGCCTCTTCTTCTCTCACAGAGATTGAGAACGGAAAACAGGCTCCTCAAGCAGAGGATAGAAACCCTGGAGAAGGTGACTGAGGCCTTCAGACGGTCACCCGGCCTTTTTGGACACACAGACACATTCGCACAAAAACGCAGTCGCTTGTCTGACTACTTTAAATGTATGACTCTGTTCCCCCCTGTACCTGTTGATCCCTACTTTGTTCTTTCTTATTTCTACTTTATCTTGTCCACCTGCCTCTCACTCTTCCCCTCGGGATGCCGTAGGAAAGTGCCTCTTTGGCAGACAGGCTGATCCAGGTATTGTGCTGTAAAACCACACCGGTCTCCATCTCCTTCCACATCCTCCACCCGGCTGTCTTCTCCAGCTGATCCATTCCATTCTCCCCTTACTTCCTTTTTCTCCATCAGTCCCACCCTGATTCCAACAATCAAGAGTGAGAACTAACCAGTGAAGGTTTCTGTGTTTGTCTGTCTGCCCTACATAAAAGGTGCTGTGTTTGTCTCTCCACCTACATAAA